TAGCTCATCAGCTCCCCTCTCTCTCTTACTCATCAGACTCCTCTCTTTCTCTCTGTAGTCTCATCAGACTCCTCTCTCTTTCTGAGTCTCATCAGCCCTCTCTTTTTGTAGTTATCAGACTCCTCCCCTCTCTTTTTAGCTCTCAACTCCTTCTTTTTCTTTAGCTCATCAGATCCTCTCTCCCCTTTGTAGTTCACAGACTCCCCTCTTCTAGTCCATCAATCCTCTCTCTCTGTAGTCTCATCAGACTCCTCTCTCTCTTGTCTCATCAGACTCTCTCTCCTCTCCCGTAGTCCATCAACTCCTCTCCCTCTCTGAGTCTATCAACTCCCTCTCTCTCTGAGTTTACAGCTCCTCTCTCTCTGTACTCATCAAAACCTCCTCTCTCGTAGTCTCATCAGTCCTCTCTCTTCTGTAGTCCCTCGACCCCCCTCTCTTTCTCTCCCCCTCCTTTCCCCGAGACAAATCCCTCTTCCTTTTACTCACCCCACTCCTCTTTTCCCGTGCCCCATCAGCTCCCCCTCTCTCTTTTAGCTCATCAGCTCCCCTCCTCTGTTCTCATCAGCCCCTCTCTCTGTAGCCTCATCAGACCCCCCCCCTCTCCCGTAGTTTTCAGACCCCCTCTCTCTCTGTAGCCCCCATCATCCCCTTTTTGTGTATCGTCCCCTTTTCCTTTTGCCCCTTTCCCCCTTTCCCCTCTGAGTCTCATCCCCTTTTCCTCCCCGTTTCATAGCCCTCTCTTCCCCTCTCTTAGCTTAAACCCCCCCTTCTTGTAGTTTCCGCCCCCTTTTTTATCAAAAACCTTTTCCCCCTTTAGTCTATAAAACCTCCTCTCTTCCTCCAGCCCCCTCTCTTTTTGGTCCTCGGCCCTCTTCTTTTCCTGAAAAAATCAACCCCCCCTTTTTCCCTCCTCCCTTTTTGTTCCCTGTTTTTTGTGTTTGTTTTTTTTGTGTTTGTTTGGGGGTTTTTTTGGGGTTTTTCTTTGGGATCTATAGTTCCTTTCCCTTTATCAAAATTGATTAGTGCCGTCAGTTTCTATGGGGTGGTCCCCCTTTTTTTGTATACCTTTTGGGGGGGGGTTTTGGGAGATCTTTCGTCATTTTTCCCCAATCTTAATGGTTAAAATGACGGGTGTGTTTTAGCTTTCAGAGACAAATTCATATAGGAGAGATAAATAAAAATTTTTAAATTGGCAAATATAAGCTCAAGGTTTTTTGTTCCCCAAAAGGGTACATGGGTTTGGGGCCCTTCTATTCAAAATTTAACTTCCCCCCGGGGCCCCTTCACTCCTTTTTTTGTGGTTGTGGGTGGTTTTGTTTTGTTTTTTGGGTTGGGGTTTTTGTTGGGGGGTTTGTGGTTTGGGGTTGGTTTGGTTGGGTGTTTTTGGGGGGGGGGGGGGGGGGAAAAAGGGGGTGTGGGGGTTTTGGGGAAAAAGTCCCAAAAAGGGGGGGGGCCAGTTGAAAAAAAAATTTTTTTTTTGGGGGGGGGGGGGGAAAAAAACCCTCAAAAATAACTTTGGGTTAAAAGGGTTTCCTCCGGGGGATTTACGAGGTTTTGGCCCCCAAATTTTTTTTTTGGCCCCATCAGACTCCTCTCTCTCTGTAGCCTCATCAGTCCATCATAGATGTAGATATAGTGTTCCTGTCACGTTGCTATGGTCTGCGTCCCACCTTTTCCCCTCTGTAATGCACTGCATTGGGCCAGGGTCCACAGGGCTTTTGGGATGCACTCTGTCTAGCCGCTCGTTCGGTTCCCAAACTCTGCTAAAGGCTGGTTAAACCCTGAGCTGGGCTGTGGTTAGCTGTCAGAGACAAATTCATGATCAGGAAGAGACTAAATAAATGATGACGTTAGAAATGAAGTGGGCTATAAATATAAGAGCCTCTACAGGTTTCTCTGTCCTCCCCAGACACAGTGCTACTGATGGATGTGGAGAAGAATCCATCGCCCTCTATCTCAACTGTCAACTATCCACCCTATCCCCCTGTCAACTCCTGTGTGTGTGTGCGTGCGTGTGTGTGTGTGTGTGTGTGTGTGTGTGTGTGTGTGTGTGTGTGTGTGTGTGTGTGTGTGTGTGTGTGTGTGTGTGTGTGCGTGCGTGCGTGCGTGCGTGCGTGCGTGCGTGCGTGCGTGCGTGCGTGCGTGCGTGCGTGCGTGCGTGTGTGTGTGTGTGAGTGTCCGTGCGTGTGTGTGTGTGTGTGTGTGTGTATATCGCTGGAGGTGTGTGGAGTTTTAAGGAAAGAGGTCATTACGGAGTCATCTATCAGATCTTAATGGTCTCATTAATGGATGGACGGAGTGATTTGTTTTGGAGGCCGTAGACACGTAGTTAGCTCCACAGCTATATAAATACAATCCATTAGGGTTAAAAGAGTTTACAGACTTTAGATATTGGAGGAGGATATTTTGGTTCCAGTTCAATTCACAGTGGAACAATATTAGCACAGTACATCAGAAGTGATTTGTTGGTGTTGGAAAAGCTACATCCGGGTGGGTATTTCATTCAATATTTCAATGGAGAGAACTTGCAGTTCGGTCCTATAAACTACATTACCACATGTTTTCTTCCCTTCAGGTTGCAACAGACAAACAGAATAGGGAAAAACTTTACCTCTCGTCCAAATCAATAAATATGTTATCAGGGCTTGAGACGTACAGTTCAAGGCCTCCTGTCGCTCAGTTGGTAGAGCGTGGTGCTTGCAACGCCAGGGTTGTGGGTTCGATTCCCACGGGGGGCCAGTATGAAAAAAAATAATGTATGCACTCACTAACTGTAAGTCGCTCTGGATAAGAGCGTCTGCTAAAATGACAAAAAATACAAATAAAAATAAAAAATATCACAATCATTATAAAGTGGATTGTACTGGACATTTGCTGAAAGAAACACAATCACTGACCAGAGTAACAAGCCCCAGCTTCCATTTGGTTTGTACTCACCCCTTAGAGCTGCCCTCCAGACAACAGTCCCTACCACTACGGTGACTGCATCACTGGCATCCCAATCCCACAGGCTCGCCCTGCAAGGGCTGCAGTCATAGTTCCACACACTCACACATACACACACACACACACACACACACACACACACACACACACACACACTCACACATACACAGACACACACACACACACACACACACAGACACACACACACACACACACACAAGGATATTCAATCAAATATTAACCAGGTCCGGCAGCTCCCCAAAAACTGATCCTGAACCAATGACCCAGTCAATTTCTAACAAAAACAATAACAGTCTCTCCCTCCTTCATCCTCCCCCCTTCTCTCCCTCCCTCCCTCCTTCCTCCTTCCCTCCAATAACTACAAGGACAATCAACAAAAACTGAGGACACACAAGAAGTATTCTGAATAGTTATTCAATAAGATTTCTCTCTGATGAGGTGTCAAACAAACAAGAAGCACAATGTGTGCATTCCAAATGGCACCCGATTCCGTTTATAGTGCCCATAGCCTCTGGTCAAAAGTAGTGCACTACATGGGGAACAGGGTGCCATTTGGGACTCAGACAATTTCTGATATTCCCTGGATGGCTGCCATTGTCCAGTAGCAAGTTTTGTTCAGATCAAAAAGAGAGGATCATAGTAGATATGGCAGTATAACTCTATTACAACAATGTTTAATATATATGGCAGTATAACTCTATTACAACAATGTTTAATATATATGGCAGTATAACTCTATTACAACAATGTTTAATATATATGGCAGTATAACTCTATTACAACAATGTTTAATATATATGGCAGTATAACTATATTACAACAATGTTTAATATATATGACAATTTCTGATATTCCCTGGATGGCTGCCATTGTCCAGTAGCAAGTTTTGTTCAGATCAAAAAGAGAGGATCATAGTAGATATGGCAGTATAACTCTATTACAACAATGTTTAATATATATGGCAGTATAACTCTATTACAACAATGTTTAATAGATATGGCAGTATAACTCTATTACAACAATGTTTAATATATATGGCAGTATAACTCTATTACAACAATGTTTAATAGATATGGCAGTATAACTATATTACAACAATGTTTAATAGATATGGCAGTATAACTATATTAAAAAATGTTTACTAGATATGGCAGTATAGCTCTATTATAACTATTTTTAATATATATGGCAGTATAACTCTATTACAACTATGTTTAATATATATGGCAGTATAACTCTATTACAACAATGTTTAATAGATATGGCAGTATAACTCTATTACAACAATATTTAATAGATATGGCAGTATAACTCTATTACAACAATGTTTAATAGATATGGCAGTATAACTCTATTACAACTATATTTAATATATATGGCAGTATAACTCTATTACAACAATGTTTAATAGATATGGCAGTATAACTCTATGACAACAATGTTTATGAAATAGCACAGCTACATTAACAACATTTTGTGAACTGATAATGCTATTTCAGCTATTCAACTCCACTACTAGGTATAGACTCTAGATATGGGACTTGTGAGTTGTGGTTGCATTGGGCCATATGGTGCTAGGGATTACAGTGTGGAGTGCTGATAACACTCTGACTTCGTCTGCACTGAAACTAAACTCAGAACACTCTGTTGTTCAATCAGCTGGAGATTAAGAGGGAATTTCAATACTTTTGTCCCCCCACGGGGATTCAATAAAATCTCGAACAAACACTTCAGTCTGAATGTCAGTGTAGGAGGTAGGACGTTCTATAACAGCTATAATTGAACACATGACGACTCACAGCCTTGGTAACGAGCTATAGAGGCTACATTACATTCCTATATGTTTTCATTCCAACCTCAGGGATAACGTGTACAACTATCTCATGTATGCCCACAGTGATGGTGAACCAATCCTAACACGTCCAGCCCTCATCATCAGTATGTGTAATCTGACACTACAGTGACCAGACACCCGTCTAATGTGACTCCAGCCATGTTATTACCTTTCTGTGGTATAAAGTCCCACATTTTATTCAATTTCTATTTCGGTTCCCAGCCAGCAGGCCAGCCAGGCCAGGACTATCTGTGGCTGAAGGGACAGAGGCAGTGTCCTCCTCCTGCTCTGATCAGATGCAATGTCACCCAGGAGAACTCTGTGGCTCTGTCCCAAATGGATCCCTTTTCTATTTTATAGTGCACTACTTTTGATCAGGGCCTATAGGGCTCTGGTCAAAAGTAGTGCACTATATAGGGAATAGGGTGCCATTTGGGATGCAGATTATATCTCTATGCAGTCTCTCTTTATTAAAGCCGTCTTCTTTTCACAGCCACCTGTCTCTATCAGCTCCAGCCTTTCCTCTGCTGAGCCCGTTGGCCACGTCACAGAGAGCAGACACAAACACACCTGAGGTAGAGCTAGTGTGTGTGTGTGTGTGTGTGTGTGTGTGTGTGTGTGTGTGTGTGTGTGTGTGTGTGTGTGTGTGTGTGTGTGTGTGTGTGTGTGTGTGTGTGTGTGTGTGTGTGTGTGTGTGTGTGTGTGTGTGTGTGTGTGTGTGTGTGTGTGTGTGTGTGTGTGTGTGTGTGTGTGTGTGTGTGTGTATGTGTATGTGAGGCATTAGCATTCTCGTTGCCTCTCACTGTCTCTCTGCCTCTGGCTCACTGGCTCACTGCAATGAGGACAGGCGTCTCTGAACCTCCACTCCGTGGACTCTCTTACCATATTGTTCTATTTCAGTAATCATATATTAAAATATCAATTAACAGCCTTATTAAAGCCTTCCATCTGAATGTAGCTACATATATACCTTTGAAGGTATATACTGTGTCTAAGGCTTTATCACACTGTCACAGTCTGCCAGTCCACTTGTTAGGCTGGGCCTGGGGCGCCATATCATTCTCATGAGACCAGAGAACTTTTAAGAATTTAAGACTTCACTTATCAGAACTTTTCCCTTCAGTATTACTATTTTCCTCGTCAGTCTACTTGCTGGGCTAGGGTTACTGACTACAGCTGCAGTTTCTCACACTCATCTCACAGCCAGTCCACACAGCCAGTCCATTTACTAAGGTTAGATAATCTCTCATCTCACAGCCAGTCCATTTACTAAGGTTAGATAATCTCTCATCTCACACCCAGTCCATTTACTAAGGTTAGATCATCTCTCATCTCACAGCCAGTCCATTTACTAAGGTTAGATAATCTCTTATCTCACAGCCAGTCTACACAGCCAGTCCATTTACTAAGGTTAGATAATCTCTCATCTCACAGCCAGTCCACACAGCCAGTCCATTTACTAAGGTTAGATAATCTCTCATCTCACAGCCAGTCCATTTACTAAGGTTAGATAATCTCTCATCTCACAGCCAGTCCACACAGCCAGTCCATTTACTAAGGTTAGATAATCTCTCATCTCACAGCCAGTCCATTTACTAAGGTTAGATAATCTCTCATCTCACAGCCAGTCCATTTACTAAGGTTAGATAATCTCTTATCTCACAGCCAGTCCATTTACTAAGGTTAGATAATCTCTCATCTCACAGCCAGTCCACACAGCCAGTCCATTTACTAAGGTTAGATAATCTCTCATCTCACAGCAAATCCACTCATTCAGTCCATTTACTAAGGTTAGATAATCTCTCATCTCACAGCCAGTCCACTCAGTCAGTATATTTATTCAAATTAGATAATCTCTCATCTCACAGCCAGTCTACACAGCCAGTCCATTTACTAAAGTTAGAGGCAGCTTTAACTAGCTTCAGTTAGAGGTGTGTGTGTGTGTGTGTGATAGAGGCCTGCCCAGAGCAGTTTTAACTAGCTCTGAGCCTGGCGTCTCAAATCAATTGCTTTGGGGATGTTAAGATAGGATGTTACACCTCTCTCTCTTCCCTCTCTCTACCCTCTACCCTCTCAGATAACCATCCTTCCTTCCTGTCTGTCTTCACAGACACACAACAACAAGTCCTGAGCCATGTCATTGCTGAGCAGTGTGAAATCAAAGTGACTGGGTCCTGTTTGATGTATTCTAGAGGTGTGAGACTAGACCTGCTCCTCTGTCAATAACATACATCTCTCAGTTTGAACAGAGAAATGCCTCGTAAACAACTCACCATGAACCTTAGCTAATGATCATGTTTGATGCACAGTTAGGAAACATACAGTACCAGTCAAAAGTTTTAGAACACCTACTCATTCAAGGATTTTTCTTTATTTTTACTATATTCTACATTGTAGAATAATAGTGAAGACATCAAAACTGTGTTAAACAAATGAAAATATATTTTAAATTTGAGATTCTTCAAATAGCCACCCTCTGCCTTGATGACAGCTTTGCACACTCTTGGCATTCTCTCAAGCAGCTTCACCTGGAATGCTTTTCCAACAGTCTTGAAGGAGTTCCCACATATGCTAAGCACTTGTTGGCTGCTTTTCCTGATGCAGCACTCCATCACTCTCCTTCTTGGTAAAATAGCCCTTACACAGTACTGGAGGTGTGTTGGGTCATTGTCCTATTGAAAAACAAATGATAGTCCCACTAAGCCCAAACCAGATGGGATGGCGTATCGTTGCAGAATGCTGTGGTAGCCATGCTGGTTAAGTGTGCCTTGAATTCTAAATAAATCATAGACAGTGTCACCAGCAAAGCACCCCCACACCATAACACCTCCTCCTCCATGCTTTACGGTGGGAAATACACATGCGGAGATCATCCGTTCACCCACACCGTGTCTCACAAAGACACGACGGTTGGAACCAAAAATCTCAAATTTGGACTCCAGACCAAAGGACAAATTCCCACCGGTCTAATGTCCATTGCTTGTGTTTCTTGGCCCAAGCAAGTCTCTTCTTCTTATTGGTGACCTTTAGTAGTGGTTTCTTTGCAGCAATTCGACCATGAAGGCCTGATCCGCAAATTAACTTTTAAGAAGGCACACCTGTTAATTGAAATGCATTCCAGGTGACTACCTCATGAAGCTGGTTGAGAGAATGCCAAGCGTGTGCAAAGATGTCATCAAGGCAAAGGAGTGGCTATTTGAAGAATCTCAAATATAAAATATATTTTGATTTGTTTAACACATTTTTGGGTTACTACACGATTACATATGTGTTATTTCATAGTTTTGATGTCTTCACTTTATTCTACAACGTAAAAAAAATACAAAAAACTCTTGAATGAGTAGGTGTGTCCAAACTTTTGACTGGTAGTGTATCTACCGCTGTGGTGAAAAATCAAGGGCATCTTTGAGGGCTTTTTATCCCATTGAAGAGCAATCAGTTTGGCCACCGTCCCTGGGGAGACATCAAAGGGAATAGAATGTTTGTGTTCCAAATGGTACCCTATTCTCTTTATAGGGAATAGGGTGCCATTTGGGATCTAGTGGTAGAGGCAGCAGCCAACAGCCCAGTCCAACTCACTGTTGGAGGCACGACAGAAGAGAAAATACTTAAATTACTCATCTGGACCTGAAGCCAGTTCCACTGCTGACGTTAATTCTTCCCCTCTAATCAAGGACTGATTTAGACCTGGAACACCCCGTGGGTGATATTAATGATCAGGTAGAACAGACGACCAGCAGGCTCAGATTGTAATACCCCTGGTCTCGGCCTTTAATGAGGAGTAAGGCCTTTAGCTTCTGAAAATAACTCAACATTTCACATAGCGATGGATACAGACGGTTATTCCTCCAATGATAATACCACAGATGTTCAAACGACACCCCAATCACTTGCCCCCTTACTGAGTAGTGCCCTCAATCCATGCTCCACACATTCCATTAGTACCCTATAATAACATGGACCCTACCAAGTCATCAACCTCTCTGTATACGCCATGGTCAGAGCAACAGCAGAAATGTCAGAGAGAGTGACTTTCAATACTTTAAAAACCATCACTATAAGACATAATCACCAGTTAAGTTGAAGAGTCTGCCTGACACATCCAAATTGATGTCTGGCTTTTGGGCTAGATACGACCCTGATCCCTGCCTGTCCATCCCGCCAACCTGCATATTATGCTAAACAGATCAGGGTTAAATAGAACACTGCAAACATTCTAGAATCCATAAAGACCAAAATCAAAGGCATTCTGTCCTATTCTCACATTTCATTGAAAAGAGGGTAAAATATTTCACAGTGATAAAAAAGGGCAATTTTGTCTGCCAACTGAACAACCAGACAGATCTCAATAGCCAGCTTGTGGAGAGAGAGAGAGAGAGAGAGAGAGAGAGAGAGAGAGATCGAGACCGTTGAGAGAGGAGAGAAGAGATAGAGAGAGAGAGAGGAGATCGAGAGAAATAGAAAGCAAAGAAGAGAAGCAAAGACCAAAACAACACTCCCGCCCTTCCCTCCCTCCATCCTCTCCGCCATAAGCCTCTCTCTCTCTCTCGATACCTAACCTAGATCACCTTTCTCGTATTTTAGTCCATTTTCCCGCTGTCACGCAGTGACATTAACAGTCTAGTGACAGCCAGCTAAACCAGCCAGCCAACCAGCCAGCCAATCAGCCAGCCAAACAGCCAGCCAGCCAGCCAGCCAGCCAGCCAACCAGACCAGGTTTCCATCCAGTCAGTCTTACCTCCAGATATCTCGTTGATGTCTTCAGCCCCTCCAGTGTCATCAAGTCTCAGTGGCAATGTGCCCTCACCCTCTCCTCCCTCACCCTCCAGGTCTTGAGCTGAGGCACAGAGAGTAGAGAGATCCATTAAAGTCTCATTCACGCTATAGGGCAGACCCAAACCTTACTGTGAAGAGATCCATTAAAGTCTCATTCACGCTATAGGGCAGACCCAAACCTTACTGTGAAGAGATCCATTAAAGTCTCATTCACGCTATAGGGCAGACCCAAACCTTACTGTGAAGAGATCCATTAAAGCCTCATTCACTCTATAGGGCAGACCCTAACCTTACTGTGAAGAGATTTATTAAAGACCTGAAGGCTCTCTGCTCTTTCATCAACCACTCCTCCTCTCCCCTCTCAGGACAGAAGGTTACGATGCCAGGCCAGCCAGACAGCATTAAATGGAATCTACTAAAGTAGGGCCTCTGTCAGGTTTTAGATATTTTCATTTTTGTGTTTATACTGTTGCATAAGAACGCTCTTTCTTCAAAACAATGCTATGAATGTGAGGTTTCTATCTAAAGTCATTTTACTATTCAGAAATCAGTGGAACAAAACGACATAGAGCCAGTATTTTACATACCTGCATACTTCCCTTGTAGTGCTCTGCTCTGCTGGTTCCCACTCACAGCTAGAACCCTGACGTGGTACTCCTTCATGGCGTCAAAGTCCTGTATCACCACTTTATTATCCCTCTGAGAAACACGCAGCTCCTTCTCCTCTTCACCTGTTGGAGGTTGGAGACAGAAATCAGGGTGGGGATGGCAGTCCCAAATGGCACCCTCTTCCCTATATCAGGGATCATCAACTAGATGATCGATAGATAAATGAGCAGATGGTCAGGGGGGGGGGCCGGAACATAATTACAAATAATTTGTAGACTGCAAATTGACCGCAGGAAGCCCAAACAGATATCATATTTGACTAATACATAATCATTTCAAACCTCTCTTACATTTGTATAAGATCACACGTCTCTCTATTATGTGTGGGAATACTTGGGAACAGATGTTTCTCAATTAAAATCACTTGGGAGCTGATTTCCTGGTGTTTTTGCAGTATTTTAAAATCCAACAATAAAACATGTAAAATACAAAATAAAAAAAGACCTGGTTGGCCCAAATAAAACCATGTGTTGAGGAACCCTGCCCTATATAATGCACTACCATATGTTTCTGGTCAAATATAGTGCACTATAAAGGTAATAGGGTGCCAATTGGGATGCAGACTCAGACAAGCATTCCAATGCATCACTTTCCCATTACTGTTAACAAAGCATTCAATGCAATTTCCCATTCAAGCTTTCCAAGGAGTCTCAATGTCCAGGATGTTCTGTGAAGCAGTGCACTAATCAGGATTCTTGTGGTGGTAAGGCTCTAGGGGTGTGCGCGTGTGTGTGTGCGCGTGCATACGTGCGAGTGTGTGTGTGTGTGTGACAACCATAAGTGATCCCTCACAGCTCAAGCTGCACACCTCAGCATTGTCTCTAAAGCTAAAGGACAGGTACACATGAGACACATCTTTTATACAACATATCTTTTAAACATTTGGAGTCTGGATATTTCTGCCCTGAGGCTCTGCCCATTTCAAATGAACTACGAATGCAAATGCCTAAATATCAGAAATACCAACTGATCTTACTGAGACTTCTCTATTGAAACTGATACATTTTCCTTCACCCGTCATATTTAGGTGAATCATGGTCAACCACAAATCCAGACAAAGCTGAATCATTTCAGATCCATTTAGTCACTTAACCCATTTTGAGTCAGTGCATTTAAGAGTAAATTGTTTTATATTTGTTTAGCCAAACCCTATTTGCATAAACCATCTTAGTTGCCTGTCAGCCAACATGCTGGGGCTTGATCTCAGGACCTCTCCTCTCCTCTCCTCTCCTCTCCTCTCCTCTCCTCTCCTCTCCTCTCCTCTCCTCTCCTCTCCTCTCCTCTCCTCTCCTCTCCTCTCCTCTCCTCTCCTCTCCTCTCCTCTCCCTGTCCTCTTCTTCTCTCCTCTTCCCTCAGCAATAAAATAGTTCAGAGCTCCAGCAGTTCACGTTATTGACCAATTAAGATGATTTAAATCCTACAGGCCTGGCCGATCAATAGGAAGAGACTAACCATGCTTAATCAGCAGCACTTTCACACAGAACACTGCAGAAGAATGGGGTTGGATGTGTTAAACGAGGAGAGAGGGCGTAAAGAGAGGGGGGAGATCTGGGGAGATGGAGAGGGAGAGGGGGGGGGTGGAGGAAAGAGAGATAGACGAGAGATAGAGAGCTCGAGAGAGAGAGATACGCGATCGATCTCGATTGAGGAGATCTTCTTCTTCTCGCCACTCAGAGCTTTCTCTACCTCCGCTCTCGCGCCCCTTCGTAGAGCTCCCGCTCTTCTTCGCTCTTCGCTCTCTCTCTCTCTCTCTCTCCTCTCTCTCTCTCTTTCTCTCATCTCTCGACTCCTCTCTACCATTCTCTCTCCCTCTCGTCTATCATCGAGTGATGAACCTTATAGCCCGCAGACTTGAAGAGAGAACATAGAGAGAGAACAGGAGGGAGATTTAAGGGATGGACCTAACATCTACAAGTGATGACAGCAGATTACTGTTAATGCTGAAGCACAGCAGGAAACAGCACGATCAAGATCAGAGAAATTACACTTTTAATTAAAGGTATTAGAAGTTATGGAAATCAGTCTAATTTAACCTTTGTATCAAAGAAATGTCAAAAGGAAACCATTATAATGTAACCATAACCAATGTGTCAAAATAAACTGAGCGAACAAAACATTAGGAACTTTGGGTGGTGGATCATTCTTGATATGTGAAAAACCCAGCAGCGTTGCAGTTCTTGACACAAACCGGTACGCCTGGCACCTACTACCATACCCCGTTCAAAGGCAATCAAATATTTTGTTTTGCCCATTCACCCTCTGAACGACACACATGCACAATCCATGTCTCAATTGTCTCAAAGCTTAAAAATAATTGTTTAACCTGTCTCCTCCCCTTCATCTACACTGATTGAAGTGGATTTAACAAGTGACATCAATAAGAGATCATAGCTTTCACCTGGAGTCATCTGGTCAGTCTATATATTGGAAAGAACAGAGTTGGTTGGGTGAGTGGTCTCTCTCCCAGTCAGTATGATAAACAGTGGACACTGGGTTAGGTGAGTGGTCTCTCTCCCAGTCAGTATGATAAACAGTGGACACTGGGTTAGGTGAGTGGTCTCTCTCCCAGTCAGTATGATAAACAGTGGACACTGGATTAGGTGAGTGGTCTCTCTCCCAGTCAGTATGATAAACAGTGGACACTGGGTTAGATGAGTGGTCTCTCTCCCAGTCAGTATGATAAACAGTGGACACTGGGTTAGGTGAGTGGTCCTCCTCTCCCAGTCAGTATGATAAACAGTGGACACTGGGTTAGGTGAGTGGTCTCTCTCCCAGTCAGTATGATAAACAGTGGACACTGGGTTAGGTGAGTGGTCTCTCTCCCAGTCAGTATGATAAACAGTGGACACTGGATTAGGTGAGTGGTCTCTCTCCCAGTCAGTATGATAAACAGTGGACGCTGGGTTTGTTGAGTGGTCTCTCTCCCAGTCAGTATGGGAGGGAGGGAGGGAGGGTGGGAGGAGAGATGCGGCAGACAGAAAGACAGACAGACAGACAGGCAGTCAGACAGACAGACAGATAGGCAGGCAAGCAGCCAGCACTGTTGTTCTTGTTGTTGATGATGTTGCTGTTGATGTTGTTGCGTGTTTCTGACCCCAGTTCAACAGAGATGTGAGACAGTAAACAAACAACTGGGCCTGACGGAACAGCAGTGCTGCTTTTCAACCTGCTATGTGGTCTGTTGGGACTTGGCAGACCGTCACAGAGTCAAACTGACACCCAGTGTGCCTACCAAATGGCACCCTATTCCTTATAGTGCACTATAAAGGGAATAGGGTGGCATTTAGAATAACCATAACAATCACTTCTAATTAGACCCAGAGACAGAGATTTTAACGGAGCCCAATGCAGGGCTAAAATTGGCTGATACCCCCCAAATAACAATCATTTCTAATTGGGACCCAAGACGAGAGCTGAAAGAAACCTTTCCGAGCTTGACACAAAAACTTTTTTGGGCCACCTGTCCCCTTTGGAAAAAAATTTTTTTTAAAACCTTTTAATTTTGGGGGTTCCCCCCTCTTTTCTCTCTCCTTTCCCCCCCCTCCTTTTTTTTTCTCTCTCCCTTTTTTCCTTTCCCCCTCCCTCCCTTTTCCCCCCCCCCTTTTCCCCCCATCCCCCCCCCTTTTTTTCCCCCCCCCTTTTTTTTTTCCCCTCCCCCCTCCCCCCCTTTTTCCCTTTTCCCCCCCCTTTTTTTTCCCTCTCCCCTCTCTTCCCCCCCCCCCCCTTTTTTTTTTTTTTTCCCCCCTCTCTTCCCCCCGGGGGGCCCCCAAAATTTTTTTTTTTGGGGGAAAAAAAAAGGGGGGCCCTTTTTCTTTTTTTGGGGGGGGGGCCCGGGGGGGGAAAAAAAAGGGGGGGGGGGGGGAAAAGGGGGGGGGGGGCCCCCCCCGGGGGGGGGGGGGGGGGGGGGGGGGAGGGGGGGGGGGGGGTTTTTTCCCGGGGGGGTTTTGGGGGGGTTTTTTGGGGGGGAAAAAAGGGGGGGGGGGGGGGCCCCCCCCCCGGGGTTTTTTCCCCCCCGGGGGGCCCCCCCCCGGGGGGGTGGGCCCTTTTCCCCCTTTTTAAAAAAAATCCTTTTGGGGGGGGAAAAAAAGGGGGGGTTGGCCCAGGGGTTGGGAAAAATTTTTTTTTTTTGGGAGGTTGGGGGTTTTTTTTTTAAAAAAAAAGGGGGGGCCCCCCGGGGGGGGGGGCCCCAAAAAAGGGCGGTTTTTGGGGGGTTTTCCGGGGGGGGGGGCCCCCCCGGGGGGGGGAAAAAAGGAAAACCTTTGGGGGTTTGGGGGGCCTTTTTTTGGGGGCCCCCCGGGGGGGGCCCCGGGGTTCCCAAAACCCCCCAATTTTTTTTCCCCCCTTTTTTTTTTTCCCCCCCCCTTTTTTTTTAAAACCCAAAAAAAAAAAAAAAAATTTTTAATTTTTTAAAAAAAAACCCCCTTTAAAAAATTTTTTAAAATTTTTCTTGGGGGGGGCCCCCTTTTTTTTTTTTAAAAAAAAATGGTTTAAAAAAATTTTCCTCTCTTCTCCTCTCTCTCTCTCTGATGCACACCATAACTTTTCCAGGATTTCATTGCTGACCAAAAATGTGATAGGAATGGGGCAAATATCTCCATAACTATTCATCAACAAATGTGCAAACACGGCTCGCTTTGATCTCAAATACACATATCGTGACTAGATGATTGAAAGTCCGCTCGTGATGGTCAATGCAGGCCTACAAAAATTATACTCTGATGCGCTCTGCAGAGATTGGGAGGACAGTGAGCAAAACATTGCATCCGGAGGACACTTTGATCCGATTCTGATCGGAGTAGCCTAATTGTTTGTGATTTTTGCGTGATATTTTTTACTTGTCCATTTGGACAACTTCAATCTATAATCTGCTTGTCCAACAAATGTTTTACTTGCCCCGGGCAAGCGCACAAGTGCTAAGGTCGAGCCCTGAAACCAAAACAATCACCTGTCCTGCTCCAACACCAACATCTCTAATTAGTCAAACAGAAACCATATGCTTCCCCGAGGTGGAACATTAGGAAACATTGGAACTGGAGTGGATTTGTGCAACAATGATAATCTCTCTGTTCTCTTTCAAGGGTACTGCATTGAGTTAATAACCTTTTTTTTATATAGACTCAAAGGTGATCTCCCAGGATGAAGTCCAGGATCAATCAACAACACATCAGGACAGATTCCTTTGTTGTGTCTTTAACAAAGGGAGGTGGCCCAGAGGGGCTGCCGGTCAATATAATCAGTAGACCTGTGTGTGTGTGTGTATTGATGTTATCTCTGTCCTCATTGTTTAATCCAAGATATCTGACAGGCTTTGTTAGACAACACTGACCTTCCATACAGACAGCCAGGGTAAATATTCCCTAAAACTCTTCTTTTGTGTGTCTCAAGCCTAACACAGCTAGCCGGGTCCCGCAACTGTTTGTGCTGTCTCACCAACTCAATGTTGGCGATGGCCATAGGAGTTGGCAAGATTAATTCATTCAGCTGTATGGGGTGATTCACTTTATTCAAGATCAAATAAGCCCCTTTTTCAAAGCATATCCTCTGTGGTCCAGTGTGTTTAGCCAACTCCTCCCTGTGTTCATTCATTATCATGCACATCACTAGAATGGTTGGTAAGGAATAGAAGACTTGTCTACGGGGACCAGACTGATCCAGCATGGGACCAGACTGATACAGCATGGGACCAGACTGATACAGCATGGGACCAGACTGATACAGCATGGGACCAGACTGATACAGCATGGGACCAGACTGATACACCATGGGACCAAACTGATACAGCATAGGACCAGACTGATACAGCATGGGACCAGATTGATACAGCATGGGACCAGACTGATACAGCATGGGACCAGATTGATACAGCATGGGACCAGACTGATACAGCTTGGGACCAGACTGATACAGCATGGGACCAGATTGATACAGCATGGGACCAGACTGATACAGCATGGGACCAGACTGATACAGCATGGGACCAGATTGATACAGCATGGGACCAGACTGATACAGCATGGGACCAGACTGATACAACATGGGACCAGATTGATACAGCATGGGACCAGATTGATACAGCATGGGACCAGACTGATACAGCATGGGACCAGACTGATTCAGCATGGGACCAGACTGATACAGCATGGGACCAGATTGATACAGCATGGGACCAGACTGATACAGCATGGGACCAGACTGATACAACATGGGACCAGACTGATACAGTATGGGACCAGACTGATACAGCATGGGACCAGACTGATACAGCATGGGACCAGACTGATACAGCATGGGACCAGATTGATACAGCATGGAACCAGACTGATACAGCATGGGACCAGACTGATACAGCATGGGACCAGATTGATACAGCATGGGACCAGACTGATACAGCATGGGACCAGACTGATACAGCATGGGACCAGACTGATACAGCATGGGACCAGACTGATACAGCATGGGTCAAGACTGATACAGCATGGGACCAGACTGATACAGCATGGGACCAGACTGATACAGCATGGGACCAGATTGATACAGCATGGGACCAGATTGATACAGCATGGGATCAGACTGATACAGCATGGGACCAGTCTGATACAGCATGGGACCAGACTGATACAGCATGGGACCAGATTGATACAGCATGGGACCAGACTGATACAGCATGGGACCAGACTGATACAGCATGGGACCAGACTGATACAGCATGGGACCAGACTGATACAGCATGGGTCCAGACTGATACAGCATGGGACCAGACTGATAGAGCATGGGACCAGACTGATACAACATGGGACCAGACTGATACAGCATGGGACCAGACTGATACAGTATGTGACCAGACTGATACAGCATGGGACCAGACTGATACAGCATGGGACCAGACTGATACAGCATGGGATCAGACTGATACAGCATGGGACCAGTCTGATACAGCATGGGACCAGACTGATACAGCATGGGACCAGATTGATACAGCATGGGACCAGACTGATACAGCATGGGACCAGACTGATACAGCATGGGACCAGACTGATACAGCATGGGTCCAGAATGATACAGCATGGGACCAGACTGATACAGCATGGGACCAGATTGATACAGCATGGGACCAGACTGATTCAGCATGGGACCAGATTGATACAGCATGGGACCAGATGATACAGCATGGTCCAACTGTATACAGCATGGACCAGAACTGATTCAGCATGGGACCCAGACTGATACAGCATGGGACCAGATTGTACAGCATGGGACCAACTGATACAACATGTGACCAGACTGATACAGCATGGGACCAGATTGATACAGCATGGACCAACTGATACAGCATGGGACCAAACTGATACAGCATGTGACTCAATTGATACAGCATGGGACCATGATTGATACAGCATGGACCAACTGATACAGCATGGGACCAGACTGATACAGCATGGGACCAGACTGATACAGCATGGGTCCAGACTGATACAGCATGGGACCAGACTGATACAGAGGTTCTACTATTCTGGACTAAATACATTAGAATGCATACATCAACTAAAGGCATGCATAGATAGATGATTAGAAATCTTACCTGGTTCACTGTTGTATAAAACTCTATAGCCGTCAACGTTCCCTTTTGGCTCTTTCCACGATACATGTAATTTGCTCGTACCCAGCACTTTAAAACGTAATCTTCTGGGAGCCGGAACTGAAACAGAACAACAACAGATTATCATTAATACTGACTCATTCAGTTACAGTTTGTGTATTGATGATGAATATGTTGAATACAGACTTTGTCCCAAATGGCACCCTATTCCCTACATAGTGCACTACTTTTGACCAGGGCCCATAGGGCTCTGATTAAAAGTAGTGCGCCATAGAGGGAATAGGGTGCCATTTGGGATGCAGAAACAATCCCCAGCAGGAGTTAGTGCCACTACAGTGCTACACATCAGCCAGGTTAATCACACACAGACATTGAACAGACGTCCACAAAGACAACCCATTCTGGTATAACACAATAACATATTGGAAAACATATTTGATAACATATTGTTGTCCAATAACATATTGTTGTCCAATAACATATTGTTGTCCAATAACATATTGGTGTCCAACACAATATTGTTGTAGAATAACATATTGTTGTCTAATAACATATTGTTGTCCAATAACATATTGTTGTCCAATAATATATTGTTGTCCATAACATATTGTTGTAGAATAACATATTGTTGTCTAATAACATATTGTTGTCTAATAACATATTGTTGTCTAATAACATATTGTTGTCCAATAACATATTGTTGTCCAATAACATATTGTTGTATAATAACATATAGTTGTCTAATAACATATTTTTGTCCAATAACATATTGCACAACAAACAGTTACACATAAAGAGGATTGTTAAATGTCAGTCACATTCTCTTACTTTTTGAGACAGTAAGGGATGGGCCTTTTTATAGCCTGAAATCCAAACTGCTAATAAAATAATGGTGAAACAGAGCAAATCAGTTGGGATTCCAGGCTAGCGTTTCTAAGTCGATGACAGCATCGACATTTCCTATCAGAAAGACATGTGCTGCAGACTGTTAAGAGTCAGCAAATGTTTAATCTATATCTCCCAGTTGATGGAGAATCAATCAGCTTCACCTGCTGTCCCAATGTAAAGAACAGTCAGTGGAAGACATTCTCTTAGGATTACGTTAGTGCAGCTAGGCTATAGCTTGATATTTATGCAATCTGGCATTTCTATACGCAGGCTGCTATGAGGAAGAGAATGTGACTTTTTTCAGTAACACTCCACACCAAATTTCTCTTACTTCTTAGTACCATGTAACAGCACTGTGTTGCTTGTAGCCAATAAGAACAACCAAATGTAAAGTGATACTCTTTTCCCCAACTATCGACAGACATTATTCCAGTAGTATTGTGAAATACTACCATCTGAGATTGACGCAGAACTATTTATACGATTGGTGCATAGCACATTCACCATTCAATTGTTCTACTGTACATTCTATGTTAGTTGAACTACAAACTAGTCACCAGAACAACACTACTACATTCCCACCTTTTGAGTTGAAGAGACAAGGAGAGGTTGAGGAGACAATGAGAAGTTGCGGTGACAAGGAGATGTTGCGGTGACAAGGAGAAGTTGAGGAGAGAAGGAGAAGTTGAGGAGACAAGGAGTGGTTAAGGAGACAAGGAGAAGTTGAGGAGACAAGGAGAGGTTGAGGAGACAAGGAGAAGTTGAGGAGACAAGGAGAAGTTGAGGAGACAAGGAGAAGTTGAGGAGACAAGGAGAAGTTGAGGAGACAAGGAGAAGTTGAGGAGACAAGGAGTGGTTAAGGAGACAAGGAGAAGTTGAGGAGAAAAGGAGTGGTTGAGGAGACAAGGAGAAGTTGAGGAGACAAGGAGAAGTTGAGGAGACAAGGAGAAGTTGAGGAGACAATGAGAAGTTGAGGAGACAAGGAGGGGTTGAGGAGACAAGGAGAAGTTGAGGAGACAAGGAGAGTTGAGGAGACAATGAGAAGTTGAGGAGACAAGGAGAGGTTGAGGAGACAAGGAGAGTTGAGGAGACAAGGAGTAGTTGAGAAGACAAAGCTCTATGACCAGGCCAACAAACACAGTGGTGTTTGTTCCTCCTTGCAAGGAGTAGAATGGGTACCAATGTAATCTTTACATGCCTATAAATCTATAAATCTAATACATTATCTACCATACAGGGACTTGAAGCTGGTTATTAGGGGGAATATAGGCATGTAAAGTTATATACAATCTGGCACAAGCTATTAATAAATAATGAAGGATAGAGAGAAACGTTTAGGTCAGAGAAATAGATGTAGATGAATATGATCACTAACCTGATATGAACTCATCTGGGGATTGTTTCTGTGTTGAGTAAATATCTCCTATAAACCTGATAGGAACTCATCTGGGGATTGTTTCTGTGTTGAGTAAATATATCCTATAAACCTGATAGGAACTCATCTGGGGATTGTTTCTGTGTTGAGTAAATAGCTCCTATAAACCTGATAGGAACTCATCTGGGGATTGTTTCTGTGTTGAGTAAATATCTCCTATAAACCTGATAGGAACTCATCTGGGGATTGTTTCTGTGTTGAGTAAATATCTCCTATAAACTTGATAGGGACTCATCTGGGGATTGTTTCTGTGTTGAGTAAATATCTCCTATAAACCTGAGACAAACTCATCCGGGGGTTGTTTCTTCTGAAATTCCTGTTCAGTCCATAACCTGAACATATGCTGTGATCTGTAGTGTTTTTATCTAACTGTGTGTAAAACGTAGGTTTGTGATGAATAGAGACATTTGGTGACACCTTAAACAGTTATACAGGTCTAAAACACCACCTGGGAAACATAAATGCCAATTAAATAATGTGTCACGCCCTGACTCAGGGGACTCTTATATGTTGAGTCAGGGTGTGTATATTCTATGTTGTATTTTCTATGTTTGTGTTCTAGTATGTATAGATCTATGTTGGCCGGTGTGGTTCCCAATCAGAGGCAGCTGTCGCTTGTTGTCTCTGATTGGGGATCATACTTAGGCAGCCTATGGGCACTAGTTAGTTGTGGGATCTTGTTCTGTGAGTAGGCTAGTTTTGTGTTCAGCCTTAGGACTTCACATTTCGTTTGTTTGTTGTTTTGTCGTGTGTTTATCGGTAAATAAACATGTATGCATATCACGCTGCGCCTTGGTCTGACCCGTCCTTAAACGAACGTGACATAATGAATGGATACTAGATGTGAATTTAATGTGACTGCCTGTCCAGAAGTAGCTACAAATTCCTAACTTCCCATCTTTAAGTACTTTCCATTTGTACTGTCTGACTGACTCACTGCACATGAATTGAGTTGACGGAGGATAAGATCTACTTTATTAGTCCAGATGGGCATTCATCTTCTGCTTTTATCAACCCCCCGATATACACATATGGTCAGAGAGGCTGGAGCAGGGGTTAAGTTCCTGTCAAGGGAACATCGGCAGTAGGTGGCACCTGAGATATGGTTGCCGGCTCACTCCCCGACAGATCCCCCCGAGTGCATGGGAGTGTCTGTCAGCCTGACTCAACCGTACATGAGATCTGAATAATGTATCGGAACATATAACCTCCATTTGCTCTGTGTGAGGATGAGGGTGTGGAGGATTCCTAGAGGAACAGTGAAACACTATTGTGAGTTAGGAGTTGAGGCTTCCACTGATGAGCACAGTAGCTGTGAGAGGGATTCCTTCATGATGTGTTGCATTTCATTATTCCACTCTTGGCTATCAGCATGTCATTACTATCAGCATGTCATTATTCCACCCTTGGCTATCAGCATGTCATTATTCCACCCTTGGCTATCAGCATGTTATTATTCCACCCTTGGCTATCAGCATGTTATTATTCCCTAGCATCCTCTCACTTCTCAATGATGAAACACAAAGTGACTCCATGCCAGTTACATTAGAACAGCCAACCAGCAGCCCTTTCAAGTGGTTTTATCTCTCCTCTCATCCCCCTCTCCTCTCATCCCCCTCTCCTCTCCTCTCATCCCCCTCTCCTCTCATCCCTCTCTCCTCTCATCCCCCTCTCATCCCTCTCTCATCTCATCCCCCTCCCCTCTCCTCTCATCCCTCTCTCCCTCTCTCATCCTCCCTCCTCTCCCCCTCTCAACGCCCCCCCTCCTCATCCCTCTCTCCTCTCCTCTCCTCATCCCCCTCTCCTCTCACCCCCCTCTCATCCCTCTCCCTCTCATCTCCTCTCTCCTCTCATCCCCCCTCTCCTCTCATCTCACCCCCTCTCCTCTCATCCCCCCTCCCCTCTCCTCTCCTCTCATCCCTCTCTCCTCTCACTCCCCTCTCTCCTCTCCATCCCCCTCTCTCTCCTCTCATTCCTCTCTCCTCTCATCCCCCTCTCCTCTCATCCTCCCTCTCCTCCCTCATCCCTCTCTCCTCTCCTCTCATCCCTCTCTCCTCTCACCCCCTCATCCTCTCATCCTCTCTCCTCTCCTCTCCTCTCCTCTCATCCCTCTCTCTCTCACCCCGCTTCCTCTCATCCCTCTCTCTCTCTCATCCCCCTCATCCCTCTCCTCTCCTCCCTCTCGTCTCCTCTCATCCTCTCTCTCCTCTCATCCTTCTCTCTCCTCTCTCCCCCTCTCCTCTCATTCTCCTCCTTCCATCTCCTCGTCCTCTCATCCCTCTCTCCCCCTGCTCCTCCCTCTAACCCCCTCTCCTCTCATCCCTCTTCCTCTCCTCTCATCCTCTCTCCTCTCCTCTCCTCTCATCCCCCTCTCTCCATCTCCTCTCATCCCTCTCTCTCTCTCATCCCCTCTCCTCTCTTCTCACCTCTCTCCTCTCCTCTCATCTCCCCCTCTCCTCCTCTCCCTCTCTCCTCTCCCTCTCATCCCCTCTCTCCTCTCATCCCTCTCTCCTCTCCTTCCCCTCCTCCTCTCCCTCTCTCCCCTCTCCTCTCATCCCTCTCTCCCTCTCCTCCCCTCTCTCCTCCCCCTCTCCTCTCATCCCCCTCTCCTCTCCTCTCATCCCTCTCCTCCTCTCTCTCCATCCCTCTCCTCTCCTCCCCCCTCCTCTCCATCCCCCTCTCTCCCCCTCTCCATTGAGGAGCCTTCTCTCTGTGGCAGATACACTTACCCTGATCCACTGACCCTTATCTATCGCATTCTGTCTGTCTGTTTTTGTCGTCCTGTCTGGTCTGTGCTTCTGTCTGTCTGTCTGTCTGTCTGTCTGTCTGTCTGTCTGTCTGTCTGTCTGTCTGTCTGTCTGTCTGTCTGTCTGTGTTCCCTCTCTCTGCACACTGCTCACCTACCTGACAAAGGCCTAGCTTAATCTCTTTTGAACATGTATCTGTTACCAACATGGTGTGGAAATCCCTGCTGAGGGTATTTAAATATTAAGACTCTGTTCTGCTAGTCCTCGATCACACCATGTGGAGAATGAGGCTACAGTATACATTCGGTGCCGTTCAGTCAAAGTTGGTTAAGAGTACTGTCATGTTAAATACTACAAATGTGGGGATTAGAGAAGAGATGTTGGCCAAGAGTTGTTTGGATCAAATGTGAATTAGGTTTACATAGAATTTCAATTTAATCTTCATTCTACGCATCTAGGCCTATATGAAACCCCAGACATGGATTTAAAATAAACATGAACACAGTAGCATTAACAACACAGGCCATTACGACCACTCTACGCTCATAGAAAAAAAGGTGCTATTTACATTTTAGCAGACGCTCTTATCCAGAGCGACTTACAGGGGCAATTAGGGTTAAGTGCCTTGCTCAAGGGCACATCTACAGATTTTTCACCTAGTCGGCTCAGGGATTAGAACCAGCGACCTTTTGGTTAATGACACAACGCTCTTAACCACTAAGCTACCTGCCACCCCTATCTAGAACCTAAAAGGGTTCTTCGGCTGTCCCCATAGGATAACCCTTTGAAGAACCCTTTTTGGTTCCAGGTAAACCTTTTTGGCTTCTATGTAGAACCTTTTCCGCAGAGGGTTCTACATGGAACCCAAAAGGGTGCTTCTATGGGGACAGCAGAAGAACCATTTTGGAACCTCTTATTCTAAGCGTGTACTCTACTGTGTTCGGTTTTATTGAACTGTTTTTCTGACACTCTAATCAGCATCTCTCCCTACACATACAAATTCAACAATCTAGATTTTAACACGCTCAAATGAAACGCCTTGTTTTTCTAATTAGGTAACTAAAACCTAATCTGATGCCATTTGGCGTACAGCACGGAGCTAACCCATACAGACAGACATTAACGAAGGACTCTGTCATATGAAGCAGCTTCAGCATGACACCAGAGCCTGACTAGACAACACACTGTGGTGCCAAGGACAGATAAAGATGTAGCTAGCACGTGTTGTAGAATCAAGTTGTGTCCAGTGTCCACGTACAATAGGAGAGGAAAGACAGTGTTGACTGGTGGTTCAAATTACCGAAATCACTTATTTTGCAACAAATGGCACTCCCAGCCTGGGAGGCCCTCCCAATGTATTATATATACAGAAAATGGTAAGGGGCCTATCTTCACCCGAGCAGAGAGCCGTGGGGGAGAGACCTGCAGGCCTGATACACATTATATATACACCCTCCACAGACAGGAGCCAGTAATCCCCCTGACCACCCATCTTCACACCAGATCTGGGTTCAAATAGTATTTGTTAATGGTTTAATTGAGCTTTGCCTGGAGTGCCAGATGGGCGGGGATTACACTCTTGGGAGTTGGGACTATCCCATTGGTTCCACTGCGCCAGGCAAGCTTATTGAACATACCAAGTATTTGAAAGAAAACAAATACTAATCGAACCCAGGTCTGCTCCACACCAGTCCACAGAGCCGGCTCTCCCACACCAGATGCTTTACTTTGACCTGCGTCCGAATGGCACCCTATTCCCTATATAGTGCACTACTTTTGACCAGAGCCCTATGAGCCCTGGTCAAAAGTAGTGCACTACATATAGGGCCCTGGTTCAAAAGTAGTGCACTACATAGGTAATAGGGTGCCATTTGGGACGTAGGTGTTACTTCTGGCCATCGGGATCTCTTCACTCCAAGGCCTGGAAGGAATGTTGAGCTGATCTGCGTCCAAGCAGCACACAGCCAGGACAATTAAATGTTGACGTCTCCCTGGAGGACGTTATCATACGATCCCCCTCTGATAGGATCCTGAATGTTTTCCCTCTCTGATCCGCTCACAGCAGACCTGGGTTCACATACTCCTCGAAATCTTTCAACTATTTGAGGGGTTTGACTGTTTGCCTGGAGTGCCAGATGGGTTGGGTTTGAGGGTTTGCAATTAAGCACAGATAAAAAGTATTTGAAACAATTGCGAATAGTATTTAAACCCAGTTTGTCTCCAAGACCAGAGCAGACAAGACCAGACCAAACCAGACCACCTCCACAGGATTTTTCCATTGACCACAGGTGGAGGTTGTTCCATGATAGATGATTGATTAAACAATCATCTTGAGGATATCAAGTTGGCAGCCCAGCTAAGCATGATAGCAATCAGAGGTGCTTCTGTGACTGAGCCTTATATCTCATTATAAGGCTTGGTTTATGCGGCTTGTATAAATGTATATGATTATGCTCAAATAATATTATTTACAAAACACATGAAAAAGCATAACAAACACAAAACAAGAATCAATTTGGTTTAGTTGACTGTAAAACAAAGACATGCTGTGGGGGTGAAATGGCATGTCGACATACAGTTAGAGATGAAATGGGACCAAATCTGTACATCAAATGAGGAACAGACAGAGGAGACCACCGACGGAAGCATTTGGTTAATCATCCAGTCACAGTGTAGTCCTTACCTTGACCCTGGGCAGGAGCTTGGAAATGTACAGCCAACACCAGGAAGAGCAGAGGACACCACGTCCTTATTGGGAGTCCTACAACCAGCATCCTTACAACTGTGATGCTCCCTCTGCACCTAGCGGGCAGAGGAGGAATGAGGCAGACTATTTAGCGCTGCCTGACTGCCTGACACAGCTACAGGCTTTGGGAGAGCGGTAAAAAGTATTTAGCATAGGATCAGATGTAGGGTGCATAGTAAGGTACCCAGCAGTAGAAAGAGGTTTTAGGAATAATGATACATTAGAGAGAGAGACAGAGAGAGAGAGAGAGAGAGAGAGAGAGAGAGAGAGAGAGAGAGATAGAGAGAGAGAGATAGAGAGAGAGAGAGATATAGAGAGATATATGATAGAGATAGATATATCTTAGCTCTCTTCTCTTCTATTCAAATCTCCATATTTGGATAATTTTGCTCTCTTATCTCTCTCTCTCTCTCCCTCCTCTCTTCTCTGCTCTATCCATCTTTTCTTCTCCCTCTCTCTCTCTCTCTCTCTCCTCTCTCTCTCTCTTCTCTCTCTCTCTCTCTTTTTCGCTCTCTCTTTTCCTCTTTTCTCTCTCCCCTCTTCCCCGCTCTCTCTCGCTCTCTCTCTCTCCGCCCTCTCCTCCTCTCGCCTCTCTCCTCTCTTTTCCCCTCCCCTCTCTCCTCTCTTCTCTCTCTCTCTCGCCCTCTCTCTTTTCTCGCTCTCTCCCCTTTTCCCCTTTGCCTTTCCTCCTCTCTCTCTCTCTTCTCCTCTCTCTCTCTCGCTCTCTCTCTTCTCTCTCTCTCTCGCTCTCTCTCCTCTCTCTCTCTCTCCTCTCTCTTCTCTCCTTTTCCTCTCTCTCTCTCTCTTCTCTCCTCTCTCTTCTCCTCTCCCCCTCTCTCTCTCTCTCTCTCTCTCTCTCTTTCTCTCTCTCTGCTCTCCTCTCTTCTCTCATCGTCTCTGGGCCGGGCGCCTCGCTTCTCAAGATTTTTGGTCTCTCGGCGTCATTTTATGCCCTGCCTTCTCCAGGGGGGAATGGACGCGACAGTCACTTTTGAGATGGAAGCTGGAAACAGAACAGTAGAGGACTTTGTTAAATTTTGACGGACAGGCCCAAGAGAACATTTCCTGAGTGCCATTGTTGACATTGAGAACAAGCAGAGCTCGACTTGTCTGTCACTCATCATTAAGGCTTTGAATAGACAGGCAGAGTGTAACAGCAGCACAGGAATGGAGGAGGCGAATACAGTACTGCCAAATGGGACTACTGTAGGGGAGAGGCTAAACATTATGAGCTTTACTCACTTATGTTATTTGTTTTCTATGAATATACTCAATGTATAATGTATATTCATTATACTCAAACAGCATTGATGATGAAAATATATTTCCAATCAACATCCCTGGAAATATAATTGAATAAAGTGCCAAAATGTGTCTTTAGATCAATATAAGTGAATAAAGTGTCAAAATGTGTCTTTAGATGCAGAGATACAGTACATCATAAACCTGGCATCTGTGTCCATCAAACTAAGCCTGGACATTGACTTCATGACAGAGATATGAAAAATGTATGCACTCACTAACTGTAAGTCGCTCTGGATAAGAGCGTCTGCTAAATGACTAAAAATGTAAATGTGATATAATTTAGACCTTTAACTATTTATAGAAGCAAAAGCATAAAATGTTTTATTCAAAACCATTCTTCGCTATACTTATGCAATACAATTGAACACAATTTAATTTAATTTAATTTAATACAAAACAAGAAAATATCTAAAAACCCACTGGGCACAGACGACATTTCAACTTGATTTACATTTGTTTGAGTTGTCAACGTGAAATCAACACAAAATGTCATCATGTCATTGGATTTAGGTCAAAAGTTGGGTGAAAAAAAAGGACCGTTTTTTTTTTACAGTTTGATGACAGTTTCCCACATTGTTTCAATGTCACCGCATATAATTTTTTTGTTTAAATGACGTGGAAACAACGTTGATTCAACCAGTTTGTGCCCAGTGGGAAGTAACTATTTGCTGACAAACATTGGATGTTTTTTTCCCTACTTGTAAACCCTTATGGCCAATTATTCTTCAAAAGATTAAGTATACACGAATCAGCACATTGATTTTAAAGCGGAAACTGCTGATGAAACTCCTGAAGTAGTAATCCCTAAACGCAGTCAAATCAAAAGAAGCCTCAGCAATCTGAAATCTGTAGCGTCCACATCAATAGAAGATGAGATAGAGACAAGTAACACCTTGTCGCCCTGGAAACAAACGGAAAATAGACATGTCGGTTTTTTTTTTTTGTATTTTCACTGAAATTCCATGAAGAGTATAATAATGATTGTTAGCAATACATAAAAATAAATTCTGACTCGATTTATAGGCATACATTTCTTTTTTGGAATGGCTTACTCCAGTTGTGCAACTCTTACATTTTCCCTACGCCAAAGATGGAGTGCCTACTTCAAAAGTTAATTGTTAACTTGTGGACCCGACAGGAAACTGATGAGAAGATTGCACACAAGTTTAGTTTAATTCTAGAACTTTCAATTCGTTTACAATTAATTTGGTAATTGATCAGTATACTTGATCAAGTCAACCTATCCAATTGATTGCCTTTGATAAATTGCCTCATATTAAATATAAGCTAAGCACTCCAAACAAATTCCATACTGAATGAATGAAATCCATAACTCACAAATCATCAAATCCTAAACGCTCCTATTCCCCGCGGGTCCTCTCAATCCCCAGAGTGTCTGTCTGTCTCCCTTGTCTGTCTCACGCTCTCTCAGGCTCCTATTCCGTCAGTCAGTACAGACTAAAACTGGGGGTGGGTGTTTCTTGCGTCGTTCTTCACCTATCCCTTCGGCTACTCATCCCCCTCTCCTTCTGTCTCTCCTTCCTTCACCTCATTTCATCCTGTGGACGGACGGAAGAGGGAAATAAAAAAAAATGCGACCAATTGCTGCTGCGCAGAAGGACGGAGCGAAACTGGAAGGTGGAATTCGACCAACCCCTCAGGCACTTTTCCTCGACAAGACTTGTCAAGGAAACGACTTGTAACTGAATCTAGGTTTTACCACTCAGGGAATGGTCATTTAGCTCTATCGTTAGTTTTCACAGCATAGTTATGTCTGACACCGACTGGATTGGAACTGTGGAAGCTGAGCAGGTGCTTCGGCAAATTCTGGTGCGCGCGCTCTGGTGCTGCGAGGGTGTGAACGCACCAAGTGACTATATATTTGAAAATGACATCTACACTAAGTTGTTCCTGAATGACTGTTGCGTAATATCTAATGAACTTTCGCAAATTCCCTTGGAATAGGGGCTTATTTTAATTGACTCGTCTTTTGGGACATCGGAATTTGAAACGTGGGAAATAGTGAATTGTGCAGCATTGCATGCATTGCGGCTCTGCTATAGAGTACACTCCACACCAGGTGTACCTTAGCGATCCATGCCCCTTCTCCTCTTTCCCTCACCACCTCCCATCCCATCATCCAGAGGCCATCCCGAATGGCACCCTATTCCCTATATATAGTGCACTACTTTTGACCATAGCCAAAAGAGCACACTTTTCCCTATATAGTGCACTACTTTTGACCAGAACCAAAAGAGCACATTTTTCCCTATATAGTGCACTACTCTGGTCAAAAGTAAAGTAGTGCACTAAATAGGGAACAGGGTGTCATTTGGGATGCACACTGTAATGATGTGTGGTAGTGTCTGTCCTCCTAACACCTCTCCCATCCCAGCCACTCCCAGAGAGAGAGGGAAACCCAGACCCTCCCAGCTGCTCCCAGAGAGAGAGGGAAACCAGACCCTCCCAGCCGCTCCCAGAGAGAGACGGAAACCAGACCCTCCCAGCCGCTCCCAGAGAGAGACGGAAACCAGACCCTCCCAGCCGCTCCCAGAGAGAGAGGGAAACCAGATGGTATGACAGTCCCAATGGTGCTTGTCACCTCATCTATCTTTGACTAGGCTGGGAGCATCCAATGGCTGCTGGGTTGTGTGTGTGTTCTTGGGCCGTCTCTTTTCTCCGTGTATATCAATGATGTCGCTCTTGCTGCTGGTGACTCTCAGATCCACCTCTACGCAGACGACACCATTTTGTATACATCTGGCCCTTCATTGGACACTGTGTTAACAAACCTCCAAACGAGCTTCAATGCCATACAACACTCCTTCAGTAGCCTCCAACTGCTCTTAAACACTAGTAAAACTAAATGCATGCTCTTCAATCGAACGCTGCTGGCACCCGCCCACCCGACTAGAATCACTACTCTCGACGGGTCTGACCTAGAGTATGTGGAAAACTACAAATACCTAGGTGTCTGGTTAAACTCTCCTTCCAGACTCACATTAAGAATCTCCAATCCAAAGTTAAATCTAGAATCAGCTTCCTATTTCGCAACAAAGCCTCCTTCACTCATGCTGCCAAACATGCCCTCGTAAAACTGACTATCCTACCGATCCTTGACTTCGGCGATGTCATTTACAAAATAGCCTCCAACACTCTACTCAGCAAATTGGATGTAGTCTATCACAGTGCCATCCGTTTTGTCTCCAAAGCCCCATACACTACCCACCACTGTGACCTGTACGCTCTTGTTGGCTGGTCCTCACTACATGTTCGTCGTCAAACCCACTGGCTCCAGGCCATCTATAAATCACTGCTAGGAAAATCCCCGCCTTATCTTAGCTCATTGGTCACCATAGCAGCACCCACCCGTAGTCTGCGCTCCAGCAGGTATATCTCACTGGTCATCCCCAAAGCCAACACCTCCTTTGGCCGCCATTCCTTCCAGTTCTCTGCTGCCAATGACTGGAACGAATTGCAAAAATCTCTGAAGCTGGAGACTCTTATCTCCCTCACTAACTTTAAGCATCAGTTGTCAGAGCACCTTACCGATCACTGCACCTGTACACAGCCCATCTGAAATTAGCCCACCCAACTACCTCATCCCTATATTGTTATTTATTTTGCTCTTTTGCACCCCAGTATCTCTATTTGCACATAATCTCTTGCACATCTAGCATTCCAGTGTTAATACTAATTTTAATTATTTTGCACTATAGCCTATTTATTGCCTTACCTCCATAACTTTCTACATTCGCACACACTGTATATATATTTTCTGTTGTATTTTTTTACTTTATGTGTTTTGTTTTACCCCATATGTAACTCTGTGTTGTTGTTTTATCGCACTGCTTTGCTTTATGACATGTACAAATGCAGGGTCCCATCCAACTTATACAACATGACCAGTCGACCACCATAGCAGTAATCACAGCCAGGTAGCTTCAAACAGAACTGGAGCGTTTGAGGTTTGAAAGAATCTGTGTGAAGTTTGTCCTGGCCTGTTCTACAACAGGTCTCTGTCTGCCGTATCCAAGCCCTGCACTGTCTGAACAACAGATCTCTGTCTGCCATATCCAAGCCCTGCACTGCCTGAACAACAGATCTCTGTCTGCCATATCCAAGCCCTGCACTGCCTGAACAACAGATCTCTGTCTGCCATATCCAAGCCCTGCACTGCTTGAACAACATATATCTGTCTGCTATATACAAGCCCTGCTCTACACATTAGACATGGTTCCTTATATATCTCCTGGTCCCTCTACACATTAGACATGGTTCCTTATATATCTCCTGGGTCCCTCTACACATTAACATGGTTCCTTATAATATCTCCTGGTCCTCTACACATTAGACATGGGGTTCCTTTTTATATCTCCTGGGGGCCCTCTACACTTAGACATGGTTTCCTTATATATCTCCTGGTCCCTCTACACATTAGACATGGTTCCTTATATATCTCCTGGGCCCTCTACACATTAGACATGGTTCCTTAATATCTCCTTGGCCCTCTACACATTAGACATGGTTCCTTATATATCCCCGGTCCCTCTACACATTAGACATGGTTTCGTTATATTTTCTCCTGGTCCCCCTACACATTAGACATGGTTCTTATATATCTCCTGGTCCCTCTACACATTAGACCTGGTTCCTTATATATCTCCTGGGGGCCCCCTCACACATTAGACATGGTTCCTTATATATCTCCTGGGCCCTCTACACATTAGACATGGTTCCTTATATTCTCCTGGGCCCTACACATTAGACATGGTTCCTTATATATCTCTGGGCCTCTACACATTAGACATGGTTCCTTATATATCTCCTGGGCCCTCTACACATTAGACATGGTTCCTTATATATCTCCTGGGCCCTCTAAAACATTAGACATGGTTCCTTATATATCTCCTGGTCCCTCTACACATTAGACTGGTTTTCCCTTTTATATCTCCTGGTCCCTCTACCTTAGACAGGTTCCTTATATATCTCCTGGGCCCTCTACACATTAGACATGGTTCCTTATATATCTCCTGGGCCCTCTACACATTAGACATGGTTCCTTATATATCTCCTGGTCCCTCTACACATTAGACATGGTTCCTTATATATCTCCTGGTCCCTCTACACATTAGACATGGTTCCTTATATATCTCCTGGTCCCTCTACACATTAGACATGGTTCCTTATATATCTCCTGGGCCCTCTACACATTAGACATGGTTCCCTTATATATCTCCTGGGCCCTCTACACATTAGACATGGTTCCTTATATATCTCCTGGGCCCTCTACACATTAGACATGGTTCCTTATATATCTCCTGGGCCCTCTACACATTAGACATGGTTCCTTATATATCTCCTGGGCCCTCTACACATTAGAACATGGTTCCTTATATATCTCCTGGGCCCTCTACACATTAGACATGGTTCCTTATATATCTCCTGGGCCCTCTACACATTAGACATGGTTCCTTATATATCTCCTGGGCCCTCTAACACATTAGACATGGTTCCTTATATATCTCCTGGGCCCCTACACATTAGACATGGTTCCTTATATATCTCCTGGCCCTCTACACATTAGACATGGTTCCTTATATATCTCCTGGGCCCTCTACACATTAGACATGGTTCCTTATATATCTCCTGGGCCCTCTACACATTAGACATGGTTCCTTATATATCTCCTGGGCCCTCTACACATTAGACATGGTTCCTTATATATCTCCTGGTCCCTCTACACATTAGACATGGTTCCTTATATATCTCCTGGTCCCTCTACACATTAGACATGGTTCCTTATATATCTCCTGGTCCCTCTACACATTAGACATGGTTCCTTATATATCTCCTGGTCCCTCTACACATTAGACATGGTTCCTTATATATCTCCTGGTCCCTCTACACATTAGACATGGTTCCTTATATATCTCCTGGTCCCTCTACACATTAGACATGGTTCCTTATATATCTCCTGGGCCCTCTACACATTAGACATGGTTCCTTATATATCTCCTGGGCCCTCTACACATTAGACATGGTTCCTTATATATCTCCTGGGCCCTCTACACATTAGACATGGTTCCTTATATATCTCCTGGGCCCTCTACACATGATTCCCTGTTCTGGACTACTGTACATGCAGCACAACATTACAGACTCCAACGAGAATAGCCCACCAATTGTTTACTTTCTGAATAAATAGTATGCGAAAGTGAGACATTTTTCTACCTTTCTAAGTAATGTTTTATTGAAAAGCTTTCCTTATGAGTATGAGTGGCTGTGATCTTTAACCTTTGGCCCAAAGTACCCAATCACATTTCAACAAGCTAAGCATTAATGAAGTGTATGAGTTTGAGTCTGTCTCCAAGCAACACAAAAACAACAATCACCAACAAATCAGCATTGTTCAGAACAAATAGAGAAACTTTAATATCTCTCTCTCTCTCTCTCTCTCTCTCTCTCTCAGTGCCTCCTTTCGTTCAGTTCCCAGCGGACCCTGAGTGACAACAGATCTTGGATGAATAAATGCATTCATTTTGAGTCCCAAATGGC